GAGATGGTCTCTAAATTCAGGTGGGATATACCCAAGGTCATACTTTGGTTCTCATGGACTTGTTCTAATTTTCTTCAGCCTTAACTTGAACTTGCATATAATAATTGATGGTCTGCTCCACAGTCAGCCCCTGAACTTGTTCTAACTAATGATATTGAGCTTTTCCACTATCTCTTTCCACAGATGTAGTCAATTTGATTCCTGCGTATTCCATCCAGCGAGGTCCATGTATATAGTTACCGTTTATGTTGTTGAAAAAAGGTATTTGCAATGAAGTCGTTGGTCTTGCAAAATTCTATCAAGCAATCTCTGGCATCATTTCTATCACTAAGGCCATATTTTCCAACTACCAATCCTTCTTCTTTGTTTCCAACTTCTGCATTTCAATTAGCAGTAATTATCAGTGCATCCTGATTGCATGTTCGATCAATTTCAGACTGCAGAAGTTCATAAAAATCTTCCATATCCTCATCTTTGGCTTTAGTGATTGGTGCGTAAATTTGAATAATAGTCATATTAACTTATTTTCCTTGTAGGCATATTGATATTATCCCATCACTGACAGCGTTGTACTTCAGGATAGATCTTAAAATGTTCTTTTTGATGATGAATGCAACGCCATTCCTCTTCAAGTTGCCATTCCCGGCATAGTAGACCATATGATTGTCCGATTCAAAATGGCCAATACCAGTCCATTTCAGTTCACTAATGCCTAGGATATCGATGTTTATGCATTCTATTTCATTTTTGATGATTTCCAATTTTCCTAGATTCATACTTTGCACATTCCACGTTCCAATTATTAATGGATGTTTGCAGTTGTTTCTTCTCACTTTGAGTTGTGCCACATTAGCAAAAAGCCCCGAAAGCTTGACTCCATTCATGTCATTAAGGCAGACTCTACTTTGAGGAGGCAGCTCTTCCCCAGTCATCTTTTGGGTGCCTTCCAACCGGAGGGGCTCAACTACCAGCACTATATCAGCCAATGTTCTGCTGTTCATAAGGTTTTCACTGGCTAATTCTTTTCAGAAGTAGACCACCAGGTCCTTCTGCCTAGTTTGTCTTAGTCTGGAAGCTCAGGTGAAACCTGTCTACCACGGGCAACCCTGCTGGTATTTGAATACCGGTGGCATAGCTTCCAGCATCTCAGCAACATGCAAGCCCCCACAGTATAACAAACTGACAGTTGCATACCATATAAATAGAACAAAAGAAAAGAATCACATGATCATCTCAATCAATGCAGAAAAAGCATTTGATAAAGTCCAACACTCATTCCTGATAAAAACTCTCAATAAAATAGGAATAGAAGAGAAATTTCTCAACATAATAAAGGGTAGCTATACAAAACCAACAGCCAACATTATTCTCAATGGAGAGAGACTGAAAGCATTCCCCCTGCGAACAGGAATAAGACAAAGATGTCCTTTATCACTACTCCTATTTAACACTGTGCTGGAAGTCCTAGCTAGAGCAATAAGGCAATAAAAAGAAATAATGCACATCAAATTGGAAGGGAAGAAGTAGAACTATCCCTATTCACAAATGATATGATCCTATACATAGAGAACCCCAAAGATTCCACAATAAAACTACTGGAATTAATAGAAAGATTTCAGCAAAGTAGCAGCATAAAAGATCAATGTACAAAAATCAGTTGGATTCCTATACACCAACAATGAGAACTTTGAAAAGGCAATCGGGAAAACAGTGCCATTTATAATAGCCCCTAAAAAGATAGACTACTTAGGAATAAATCTAACCAGGGATGTAAAAGACCTATACAAAGAAAACTACAAAACACTATTGCAAGAAACCAAAAGAGACCTACATAAATGGAAAAACATACCATGCTCATGGATAGAAGGCTCAACATTGTGAAAATGTCAATTCTACCCAAAGCTATCTACATATATAATGCAATCCTAATCCAAATACCAACAGCATTCTTTAATGAGATGGAAACATGAATCACCAACTTTATATGGAAAGAAAAGAGGCCCCAGATAAGCAAAGCATTACTGAGGGAAAAGAACAAAGTAGGAGGCCTCACACTACCTGATCCCAGAACCTACTATACAGCTATGGTAGTCAAAACAGCCTAGTACTGGTACAATAACAGACACATTGTCCAATAGAACAGAATTGAGAACCCAGACGTAAATCCATGCACTTATGGTCAGCTAATCTTTGACAAAAAACCAAAGTCCATTAAATGGGGAAAAGACAGTCTTTTTAACAAATGGTGCTGGCAAAACTGGGTGTCCATCTGAAAAACAATGAAATAGAACCCATACCTCACACCATACACAAAAACTAACTCAAAATGGATCTAAGATCTAAATATAAAACCTAAAATGACAGAGATCATGGAATAAAAAATAGGGACAATACTAGAAGCCCTAATACATGGCATAAATACAATACAAACCATAACTAACAATGTACAAACACCAGATGATAAACTAGATAACTGGAATCTCCTAAAAATCAAATACTTATGTTCATCGAAAGACTTCACCAAAAGAGTAAAAAGGGAACCTACAGACTGGGAAAAAAATGTTGACTACAACACCTCAGACAAGGGTCTAATCTCTAAAATCTATAGAATACTTAACCTCAATAACAACATGACAAATAATCCAATTAAATGGAGAAATGCATATCAAAACCACAATGAGATACCATCTCACCTTGACATTACTGGCACAAACCAAAAACACAGAAAATAACAAATGTTAGAGAGGTTTAGAGAGGTTGTAGGGAGATGAGAAGTCTTATGTACTGCTGGTGGGAATGTAAAATGGTACAACCACTATGGAAAATGATATGGCGCCTCTTTAAATAGCTAGAGATAGAAAAACCATAGGATCTAGTCCAGCACAACTAGATGGTGCCTGGCTACCGCCACCAACAGCTCTGACAGGGATCACAATAGAGGTTCTCTGACAGAGCGGGAGAAAACCATAGGCCAAAATTCAAAAAAAGACCAGACTTACTGGTCTGACTGAGACCGAAGAAACCCCGAGAGTATGGCCCACAGACACCCTTTAACTTAGTACTGAAGTCACTCCTGAGGTTCACCCTTCAGCCAAAGATTAGACAGGCCCATACAACAAACAATAGTACACATAGCTCAGCTATGTGTATGAGACTAAATGGGCACACCAGTCCAGGGGCAAGAACGAGAACGCAGGAGCGGGGAGGAAAGCTGGACGAATGGAAATGGGGAGCCCAAGGTTGAGAAGGAGAGTGTGATACGTCACAGGGTTGGCAACCAATGTCACAAAAACAATATGTGTATTAATTGTTTAATGAGAACTAATTTGCTCTGTAAACTTTCATCTGAAGCACAATAAAAAAAATTTACATGACTAAAAAAAAAGAAATAGCATATGATCCAGCAATCCCACTCCTAGGAATACATCCTAGAAAAATAAGAGCCGTCACATGAATAGACATATGCACACCCATGTTCACTGCAGCATTATTCACGATAGCAAAAAGATGGAAACAACAAAAAAGACACCTCCACCATCAGTTTCTGTCGAGTCGATTCTAACTCATGGCGACTTCATCTGAGTCAGGTTAGAACTGTGATTCACAGGGTTTTCAATGGCTGATTTTTCTGAAGTAGATCACCGGGCCTTTCTACTCAGGTGCCTCTGGGTAGACTTGAACCTTCAACATTTTGATTAGCAGCCAAGCAGGTTAACTGTTTTCAACACCGAGGGACTCTCCCTTCCAAAAACAGCAGCAACCAGTGGTATAGTTTACAGAATATTTTTATATACATGCACAGTTATTATTTTACTAAATATAAAGTGATTCTCCCCAAATCATTTTCTGGTAAGTGCTGGATCAACCCACTGTTAAGTTCTAGGTGTTGGTGGCAATCAATCCCCTCCATTGCCACGTGCTAATGGGGAAAAGGATTCTTACCTTCCTTACACTTTGACTCACAAGAATACATAAGATTCCACTACTATGAAATGTTCCAGAAAAGGCAAATCTATAGATTAGAAAGTAGATTCATATTGCCTGGGGCTGGAGAAGGGAACAGGAAGTTAACTACAATGGGCATAAAGAGATCTTTTTAGAGTGATGGAAAAGTTCTAAAGTTAAATTCTGGTGATGTTTGCACAACTCTGTAAATTCACCAAAGTCATTTACTAAAGGACTTGTTGTGACATGTAAATTATACCTCAATAAAGCTGTTTTAAACAAAAGAATACTTGGAAATCTGTTAAAATCCCAAATTACCACAGGCGACTTTAACAGCTGTCTCACTATAGGTGGCACTTCATAAGGTTCTCCTCCCTCTAATCAGCAAAGGTGAATAATTTCCACCAGCAGCAGAGGATAATGTTATAAACATCAAAGATTTATATACACTTACATTTCTAACTCACATCCCCTGTTCCCTTAAAATGACGATCATTTCTTCTTTTCTCGGGAAGGTAACTTTTGTTAGAGGAAATGTTAAGAAAAGGACTTGGCTTAGCAGCTAACTGGAGGAGGAAGAGAAGACCCTAGGAATAAACCAGACAGGAAGTGACTGAGGGCACTGGGGCCCTAGCTCTGAGTGGGGAGTTGCCAGGGGGCAGCAAGGGACTAAGAAAAGTTTATGCAAATAAGAGGTCCCCTTCACTGTCGCTTTCCCACTGTTTCCATACTGTTCTCTGGATGTTCTTCCAGGGTTTCCTAAGTTCTCTCTCAGTGGCTGCCTGAAGCTGGTCAATTTCCTTCAGAGGCTTGAATCCAACTGGGAAGGGCCATGATAAACGCAAAAGCAACGGCTAAATCTAGAACACAGGGTTAAGGAAAGAGCCTTAAGGTCTCAGTGGAGATTAACTCAGCTGAGGAAATTCCAGCCCAGGCAAGTTTATATATGAGATTTGAACTGTAGTTCAACTCAGCATAAACAGTTTCACTTTCCGAGACCCACTTCCTCAAGTCCTCTTACTCTGGTAGAAGCTCAAACCTAAACTCATACTTACTTCTATGTAAAGACTCACTTTTGGTGGAAGGAGAGGAAACAAATATCACATACCATAAACGGCAGCAGTCTTCCGTAGGTTGAGAGCTGGCCTCAAACCAAATTTTTAATTCAACTCTTAAACAGGATGCACTACCTCACTCAGCTCCTACCTGGCTGACTTTCAGGGCCTCCTCAAGTCCAGGGCCTAGTGATTTCATACCAGCCAGGCTTTCCTGTGGATTAAGTCCACACAGATGTGGACGGCCCACCATGGCTACACACGGAAGATACAAAGATGAAATAGACAAGTTCCCTTGCTTCTCAAATAGCTTACAGGCTAGTGTAAATCAGTAGCTGATGAACTCACCACAAATAAAAAAAGGACAATGTGTTAGTATTATCTTGTAGCCCCAGCACTTAGCACAGGGCCTTAAACAAACCACGCTCAATAAAAGTTAGTAAAAATAAAATAAAATAATGAATGCCATTTATCAATGATTTAATATGTTATCTCATAACCAAAAAAGGATGGTGGGAAAGGGTCACAAAGGTATTTTTTACTTCACTGGAAGAAGAACTGGGGCTTGTTAGGAGTCAGACCTGGCTAGATTCTTAAATCTCCACACCCCTCCTTCCTACAGAGCAGCCTCCTGGATCTCTGGGCCCGTCTCCAGGGCAGAAGTATTCAAACTCAACAGTGAGCAAGTAAGCAGAAAATTTCTAGCATATCAGCAAATCATCCAGAATCCCACCTCTTCCCACTGCCTCCTTCTCTACTGCTTTGGTCCAAGCTGTTATCTTCTTTCACCCCTATTACTACAAAAGCCTCCATCCTATCTGGTCTCCCTGCCTCGGCACTTGCCCTCCCTATGGTCTATTCTTAAAACAGAAGCCACATCGATCCTTTTAATGCATAAGTCAGATCGTGTCATGCTTTTGTTCAAATCCCTCCAACACTTCCCAACTCACTCAGAAAAAGCCAAAGGCCTCACAGTGGCCTTCAAGACCCTACATGATCTAAGCCAACTACATCCCTTTGTTCACTAAGCTCCAGCCACACTGTTCCTGGAAGATGTCCCACCTCAGGGCCTTTGTACCACCCACTGTTCCTTTTGCCTGGAATGTTCTCCACCCAGATATCTGCATGGCTCCCTTCTTCACTTTCTCCTCAGTGAGGCCTTCTCTTGCCACACCATTTTAAATCACAGCTACCTCCACCAGCCCTATCTCCTTTCCCTGATTTATTTTCTTTACTTTGCTTATTAATATCTGAAAGATAACATATTTTGTTTATTTACTGTCTCCACTGACTAAAATATAAGCTCCATGAGAGCATGGATTTTTATTTATTCACTAATATATCACCAGAAAGATAGGAGCTGAAAAAGTTGGATAAATGATAAATACTGCTGGAAAAAAAGGCAGGGAAGGGGAGAGGCGTGCCGGGCTGGAGGAGGGTTTCAATTTCAAACAGAGTGGTCAGGAAAGTCCCCACAGAGGAGACGTTTAAGCAAAGATGTGAAGGCAGTGAGGGGGCACGTCACACAGCCAAGACTGGCTACATAATTTGAAGGGCCCAATGAAAAGTGAAAATGTGGGCCCTTGCTCTCAAATGATTAAAAATTTCAGGATGGCAACAGCAGAGCATTAAACCAAGCACAGGCCCTTCTGAGCACGGAGCCCAGTGCAGCTGTGGAGGTCACACACCCATGAAGCCAGCCCTGCATATAGCTATCAGGGAAAGTGTGTCCCAAAGAGACAAAACAGCAAGTGCCAAGATCGCAAGGAAGGACAGTGTTTTGGGAACAAACAAGGAGACATGGCTTGTTAAAAAGAGATCCTGAGGTCCTTTTCTGGATATTCTGATCCAGTAGGTCCAAGGTCAGCCAGGATCCTTTCGTTTTAGTCTGCCCCAGGACACTCCTTTACTGTCCAGACAAGTTTGAGGAACACCGATTTATTCCAATATCCTGGGCTGCATTCTGCTGCCAGGCCATGAGCACCACTTTGGAAAACCAGTTTCCATCCTGTACCCCTATAACCCAGAAGCCAAGTCCCCATCTTCCTCTGTTCTGGAAACCTCCTCGTATCCACAAAACTACTTGCTTTTCCCACTCTCTGCCACTGAGGGAGTCAAATCCTGCCTGGACTCCCAACTGAGTCGCTGGGGAGCCTCCATCAGCAGACAGGCTTCCCTGAGAGTTCCTGCTCCTATAAGCAAAACTGCAGAGCTGTGCTCTGCTCACACCATAACTCATGGAATGTTAAAGTCAATTGTCCACCTGGACTGACTCTTAATTTCCAAGTGCACTACCACGGGTCTCAAACCCCCAACATCTTACCACCCACTCCGTTAAACAAAACCTTAAATATGTTGTTGATTATTTTAGCAGTTCAATATTAGAAATTTAACTCGCCTAACTTCTTTGTGTTCATTCAGGGGGGAGAAAAACTTTTCTGACTTTTTAGCCTCCAAGTAAAATCTCAATTTATAATAAATAAATCCAAATATTAAAGCAAGACTGTCCCTTCACTGTTAAGTATTGTCACTTTCACTGCTTCTATATAACCAGTAAAGGAGTCTCTAAAAATTTCATTAACTATAGTTCAGGACCCAAAGTGTGTGATATATGTTTGTAATCAACCAATGGTTCTCAACTGGGTATAATTCTGCCCTCCAGAGGACATGTGGCAATGTCTGGAAACATTCTGATTGTCACATCTTTGGGGTAAGGATGGGGGATGCTACCAGAATCTAGTGCGTAGAGACCAAAGATGCTGCTAAACATCCTACAATGCGCAGGACAGTCCCCACACGAAGAATTATCAGGTCCATAATGTCAATAGTGCTGAGGCTGAGGAACTCTGTAATTTATGACTACAAATCATGGTTCTCAAAACATTATACCTAAGTGTAACATCTTAAAGTCAACAGTCTTTACAAAAGTAATGAAAAATCTAATTCACACTTTAATTTTTTAAAAAAGGCTATAAGAAGATTATAAGAAATAGCATCTATAGTAAACAGGGATTAGAAAGCATCTGATCAAAAGTAGAGAACTTCAGCACGCAGATATTTAGGAGCTACAAGGAACTCCAGTGAGACCACAGAGGGCTGTAGGTCATGGAGAAATTGCTGTGGGTGGCAACCAACAAAATAACCTTCCTCCAGATGTCATGGGTTGCTAGGTATAGTTACCCTGGCCTAGTAGGTAGGACTCAGAGAAACCAGAGAGAATTGACCTTCCTTCTTCAGTAACCAGGATGCTGAGAAAGCTCTCGATAAGACTAGGATAAAAGCAAGGGTGGAAATCAGAAGTAATATCTAAAGAAAAGCAAATGCTTTATCACTATGCTGATTCGAGCTACTCCCAATGAATAATCACGCTTGTAAAACATCCTTACCTCTCACGCATCTTCTCACCTGTAAAAAGGAGATTAATTACACCTATCCTTGGCTTACTATGAAAATCAAATTAAATACGATAAAAACAAACCAAAATAAAAACAAACCCGTTGCCATGGAGTCGATTCCAACTCATAGTGACCCTATAGGACACGGTAGAACTGCCCCCATAGGGTTTCCAAGGATCAGCTGGTGGATTCAAACTGCTGACCTTTTGATTAGCGGTCAAACGCTTACCCACTGCACCACCAGGATCCCGAAATCAAAATATAGCAGGATAAATGAAATGCCTGGCACACGGCAGGCATTCAGCAGAAGGTGGCTACTGATGTTTCCCAACTCTGCTTTCCTCTGATTTGACCCAAACCAGGCCCCACTAATGCACATGGAGAATTGTAGGTCTGTGTTCACATTCAGGAGGAGCCCTGGTTGCAGCAGTGGTGAAGCGCTCAGCTGCTAACCAAAAGGTCAGTGGTTCGAACTCACCAGCTGCTCCCGGGAGAAAGATTTGGCAGTCTGCTTCCATAAAGATTTATAGCCTTGAGAATGAAGAACACCATAGACACAAGAAAAGTATTAGCCCAAGAGACAGAAAGGGCCACATAAACCAGAGACTTCATCAGCCTGAGACCAGAAGAACTACATGGTGCCCGGCTACCACCAATGACAGCCCTGACAGGGAACACAACAGAGAGTCCCTGACAGAGCAGGAGAAAAGTGGGGTGCAGAACTCAAATTCTAGTAAAAAGACCAGACTTAATGGTTTGATTGAGACTAGAGGGACCCCAGAAGACACGGACCCCGGACTCTCAGTTAGCCCAAAACTAAAACCATTCCCAAGGCCAACTCTTCAGACAAAGATTAGACTGGACTATGGGACATAAAATGATACTCATGAAGAGAGTTCTTCTTAGCTCAAGCAGATACATGAGTCTAATGGGCAGCTCCTGTCCAGAGGCGAGATGAGAAGGCAGAGAGGGTCAGGAGCTGGTCGAATGGACATGGGAAGTCAGGGGTAGAAAGGAAGAGTGTGCTGTCACAGTATAGGGAGAGCAACTAGGGTCACACAACAATGTATAAATTTTTGATGAGAGACTAACTTGAATTGTAAAGTTTCACTGAAAGCACAGCAAGAAAAAAAAAAGAATATTCATTACAGTGAGAAAAAAAGAAAAGATTTATAGCTTTGGAAACCCTATAGGGCAGTTCTACTCTGTCCTATGGTGTCGCTATGAGTCGAAATACACTGGATGGCAATAGCTCTGGTTTGGTTGAGTTCACATGTAGACAGCTGCCAACAGCCCTGTATGGGGCTACCTACCGCATGATAATGTCAGTCTAGCTTGCACAGTAAGATCCCTGCTCTCAAAAAGTTTAAATGATAGAAGAGCCGTATAGGTAAGCATATACCCACTCAAAAGTGCAAAATAGGTTGCTCAGTCTCTGTCATTCAATCTGAAGGGCTAGAAAGAGTTTCACTTTAAGAGAAAGATACAGATAAGATTACCTTTCTTCCCGTTGCTATCTAAGATGCTTCAGGAAAGAACACTGAAAATTGATACAGAACTCACATGTAAAAAGGCCGTAACATAACTCAGAGTTAATTATAAGTAATTTTAATGAAACAATTTGTTCCCCCGGGTTTCCATGTTCTTTCCAGAGGTGTAATACAATATGCCCAAGACCCATGCGCTTCTAAATTTATAATAAACACAGCCCTTCAGCTCACCTAGACCATAGTTCTTGGCTGTGGCTTAGCCACTGGTGTCACATTCACAGTCAGTGAGCCCAGGGGTATAATTTTCACTTCTAAATGAAGAAGTATAATCGACAGAACCAGAACCATCCAGTCTGAACAACTGTACCATTCCTGACTCACTGCAGGACTTGTTTACACAGAGAACAAAATTCTCTGCCCAGTCCACACCTCAGTTCGGCGTGAGCAAATACATACTAGTGTGATCGGACTGAAAATAGCGTAAATGTGGCTCCCAGGGATGCCAAAGCCCTGGTCCTCTTTGCCTTCATCACGCGACAGATCTGGTCTGAGTCTGGGCAGAGCACCCAGGAACTCGATGCACCTACCTGGGGAGGGAGCCTGGGCCTTGGCGGCCCCCCCACCTCTGGCTGCAGGACCTGCCTTGGCGACCATTGCTGTTACCAGCAGCGAGCGGGGAGCGAGCACCTGGGGCCAGGCGACGGATGGCTGCCTGCTGGACCCCCCAGCACTCCTCCTGAGCCCACTCCCTGCCCCTCCAAGCCGTTCCCGCCCCGCGCGGCTATCACCCGGGCCGCGGCGGCGCGGCCTGCTCACCGTGACTCCGTACTTGAGCGCGATGCCCTGCAGCGTGTCGCCGCCGCAGACCCGGTGCTCCACGTGGCGCTCGAGGACGCCGGTGCCCAGCGGCGCCCGCACGCTGGCTGTGCTGCCGTACGAGCGGGTCTTGGTACGGGCCAGTCTCAGCGACAGCTCGGCCTCCTCGGCCTCGGAGCGGGAGCGCGAGCGCGGCGGCGGCGACGGAGCCCGAGGCTGGGACGCGCGGGGGACGCCTTCACGCAGGGACAGCGCGGGCGAGGAATCCGCCATGGGTCCTGCCGAGGCCGTGGGTCGGGAAGCTCGCCAAGGGGGTGGCGCATGCTCCGCAGCTACTGCCACTGCCGCCGGGGCCGCCGCCGCCTCCGCCTCTTTTTCCTCCTCCTCCTCATAGCGGCTGCGGACCGCGGTTCCGCGGGGGCAGCGGGCGGAGGCCGCGGCGGGGAGCTGGCGGCCCGGCATGGTGGGCGTCTCCCTCCGCTGCGCCCTGCCTTCCCCGGACGCCCGCGGCAGAAGCGCACCTGCAGGGGAAAGAGCGAAAGGAGTTCCTGCAGCTCCCGGGCCGTCCTCCGCCGCCGCCGCAGCCTCCCGGCCCGCCAGTGCGAGAAAGCGGGAGCTCTCTAAGGCCGGCGGCCGCTAAGAGTCACCCATCCTTCGGCCTTCTAGGCCTCCTGTGGAACCCTGCGCCATGCCGACCGGCCGCTTGGCCACACAGCCCTGGCCTGACCGCAGCTAAAAAGCAGGGCTTTGCTCTGCCTTCTTTATTGATTCCCCAGCAGGAGCCTACTAGCTCAGACCTTCAAGCTCCCCCAATGCCAAGGCTACTTCCCTCCCCCAACCCAGTTACCCTGATGACCTCAAAGTCCACGTCACAGAAACCACTATGATCACGAAGCACATACAGCTTCTTCCAGCCCATCTCAGCAGCCTGGGCCAAGTCCTTTCAACATTACAGCAGGAGTGACAGTGCTTCTAAGGCCTGATGGGTTGCCTCAAACAAACTAGCTGCTTTGGTTTGACTCTTCTTGGTGCACCAGTGCCAATTTTAGTCCTGGGCTGCCCTGAAAGCCTAACTATCAATCCACTCCCCCAGCTAACGACTTTGAATTTAGTATCTGCACCCATCTTTTTTTCTTATCAGTCCCCTCTTTGACACCCTGAAATCATAACTCTCCAAGCTATTACCGTTAAATCCGCCAATGACACCTTACCTATACTTTTCATTGGAACGCCTTCTCCTCCCGAATGCCCTTTCCTCCGGAGCGCCCCTCTCCTCCTGAGCGCCCTCTCCTCAACATTCTGGCTTCAGACAGTACTCTACAGGGAGTGGGTGTGCATTTACTAGAATCTAGTGCCCGGTTTCTGTTTGTAATTTGGACAGCTCTTCAAGAAGAGGGACCCAAACGTAGGTCGGGAGAGTGGAAGTTTGATTCTATGGCTGAAGTTGGACGCGTTGCTGTGCTGGACAGAGGCAAAGGAATTAGAGCTCAGGAGACACAAAGGATGGGAGAGGAGCAAGTGGTCCCCCCATAAGCCTCCCACTCAAAAAACCTTCAATGGCTTCCTGTGGACAACAGCATGAATATAAACTCACACTGGCATCCAAGCTATTATTTTTCTTTTTATCATTCATGCTCTGGCCATGCTTGTATCTGCTCCTCATCCTTTACACTCCATATGCTCCAAACAGAGCCACCTGAACTTGCTCATCGTTCCTCCCTATATGCCTTGCATATACTATACCTGCCACCTGAAATGCCACTCTTCTAATACCCTTTGTCTACACTTTTAAAATCTTTAAGGGCCATCTCAAATGATACATCCTTATGAGACCCTTCCTGATTATTACCTACCTGTCCCCCTCCCCCACCTGCCCAATTATTGTTTCTCCTTTGAACCCCAAGGGTAGTTTTAATCTCTTGTTTAGCATTTAACTTACTGTGCTTTGTGTTTGAGTTATTCATGTACTTGTCTTATCCCTTCTGCCAGATGCATGCTCCTGGAAGGTATAACTAGGTCTTACTCATCTTTTTAGCTCCAGCAGTGCCTAGCTCAGTGCCTTGACTAAAGAACATACTTGATCAAAAGTAGTAGTGAGTAGTAGTAAAAAGATGCTGAAGGCTAAATTAGATTGTTTAATAAGAGTTAGCTGTGTAAGAACTCTTGGATGATATCCAGTGTTCCATTCCAAGACCCAAGAGAGATAACCCCAAAGATATAGATGCAATCTATATACAGATGTAATCAGGTCAAGAAAGCAGAGATTCTAGATTCTTTAGGAGTGTTCTCTTAAAAGAGTGTTTTTCCCAGCAGGTTAAGGCGATCAGTTATTCATACACCTTGATAAAGAATGAACCATATTCAATCCAAGTCCCATACATATTGTTGATATCCTACTACATGCTACATACAGTGATGGGTAATAGGGACACCACAATGAAAGAATCTGCCCTCAAGAGTTTGTAAGCTAGTAGTGAGAAAGTATATAATGTGTTTCCCACTAAGGAAAGGTTAGTGAAGAACTGGAAGTTTTTACTTGAAGATTAAAGAATTTAATTACATAAGATGTTATTAGGTGTTCATTAGAAAGTGTTCCATAATCAACAAATCGGGAAAATACTACATACAATATTACCCCTTCGGAGATTCACAATGCACATTAGAATGCTGAAGGTTCTAGAAGTCCTGCAGTAAAGTAAGCTATACAATTTTGCTTGATACTGTGTTTCCCAAACTCATTTGATCATGAAACTCCTTTTTCTCTCAGAATTTCTACAGTTTGGGAAGTGTGGAATTAAAGGGGAAAGACAAGCCTAAATGAAGAATCAGAAAAATAGCTTTGAAAA